GTTTTTCTTTTGTGGGGGGGGGTGGGGCCGGGGATGCGCCGCCACGTGGTTTCTCCCGTTTTTTGAAAATCGCTCCCGCGCGGCCGTCACGTGGCTTCAAAGCCGCGCGTCCACGCGGACGCGTCCGCGGGGTCCGGGGACTGGCCGCGTCCGCGGATTCGGCCGCGGATGGCCGCCGCCGAGGGTGTTTCATAGCCGGGTGGGGGGAGCACAGGGGGTGGATGAATTATGCAGATTGGCCGGGGGGGTCAGAGGGGATGGAGAGCGATGAGCGAAGCCGAAACAGAAATTCTTCCTTAATCTGTAAACCACCAGTACTTGGCCCAACTCTCGGTCGCAGAAAAAAAAACGAGTAGAAACGTCTCTAGTCGGATGAATTTGGGTGCTCCTGTAGTAGCCCGTACGTTTCCTAAAATCATGGCAAGCTAACGGGAACGACTTGAGGAAGTTCTGGTGGTGGATGCAGATTGACTCCGGTATACCACTACGACATGGTTTTTTGCTTTCTAATTTATAGGACTATAAATATGCAAATGTCAAGATGTCTGGCTTCGGTACAAGAGCACACATTTTCGGAGTGCTTCTTTGTTTTCTTTTTTCTCGCATGTTTGTGCATCACGGTTTATAGAACTATAAACCAAATGGAGAATTTCGAAGCTAACATGATTTTTTGCTTTCCAATTTATAGGACTATAAATACGCAAATGTCAAGATATCTGGCTTCGGTACAAGGGCACACATTTTCGTAGTGCTTCTTTGTTTTCTTTTTTTCTAGTGTGTCTTTGTCGCTTGCTTTATAGAACTACAAACGGAATTTGGGATACCTGAACCGCATCTGTTTTCTACTTCTTTAATGAAAGGACTCCAAAGGTGCATATGCCAAGACGTCCTGCTTTCGTACAACGGAATACATTTTGGAGTGATCGTTATCCTGCCTGGGTTTTCTTAACTTTCCTCTAAGTTTGTAAGTGGTATCTAGTGTTGTGGAATGAATTTTCATATTTGCGCGGTTTCAGCAGAGCAAAGAATTCATTTATCGATTACAAGCGGTTTTTGGGATCACTTGTTGACCTGTTTTTGTATGTGATAAAAATGAGGCTTTGTGGACAAGCTTTCGTCTCACTAATCACCTTCTCCTAACAGGAGTCTTGATTTGGTATGTTTTCCATCACTAGGTGCGGTATACAACGTGTAAAAGTAGCACCAGCGGAGTGAAAATGAGTGGAAAAATTTTGGTTTTCTCCGGTCTATAAAGATTGTTTGGTTTTCAATGTTTGTTTGATTTTCACGAATACTCTGTTGTACCTGGTTCGGATAATGGCCAGAGACAGGAAAAATCAGACGTGATGGTCTCGGTGTGTGCTAACGTGCAACAAAGACGCATCGAAACGTTGGGCGCGGACTCTCGGCTACACGCGGTTAGACAAACAAGAAATTGCGGCAACAAAGGCGGGAGAGAGAGAGTAGAGAGTGAGGTATGAAGGATTGTTTAGGATGAAGAAAAGAGTTGTCCGAGACTAACTGCCAAGGAAATGAGTTTTGGTGTGAGAGAAGAGAGAGAAATAACGAGGGAAGAAATGAGAAGCGGTCCATGCGCATGACGGTGAGCTAAGTCAACTTGTGTGTCTGGGTATCGAATTGACTAGGTGCGAGGAAGAGGGGTCGAGTGAACCGCTGCACTCGATAAGAGAGTAACAAGTCTTGTATCAGTTCGTAAACCCGGTAACGGGGTTTGACAAATACATTTTAGAAAAGGAAGTCAAGGAGTGAACTTGTGATCAAAGATGATCGAGGGTTGGCAAGGGAGACCTTGTGAGTTCTTGAGATTGAGAGGGAAATGATAGGGGAGACTAGGGAAACCGTGTTCTAAGGGAAACATTATTCGACTATTAAACGACTGTGTGCATGATGAACAGAGAACGAACAAAATTGAACGCCGGGGCCCGGGGACCCCCGGTTAATAGCGTTTAAATCAAAAACGAGGGTGTCCCGTTAAATTTTGAAACACAGAACCGGTACGTTGGGCCTTGGACACATGCCCCTACGCACCCGAACACTCAAAACGAAAAAAAAAAAAAAAACAATACACCCCCATCCCCCCCCATCCCCCCCCTTGGACCCCCTAGGACCTCGCCAATCGGCCTTTAATTACGCCCCTGCAAGCGGCACGACCCCCCGACC